CTCTCCAGTAAACTGCAGGCTGTGGACGAGGGCAGTTGTCTTTTTAGCCGGTTTATTTTTATTCTTACCCCTTTACGCCGCTGCTGAATCCCAAATCCTTTTCTAAGAGTGTGAGTGTTTACAGGGATGGGGGTTCGGAGTTCAGAAACCGGAATTTGCTTCAGAATTTGCCTTTGCTAGCTGTGCTGTCTCGAACCAGTCATTTAGTTTCACTGGGTCTATTGTTTCACTCAGGTGTGTAGAGAGAGAGCTGGAACAATGTTCTCCGAATTTTAGGTGACGGTGAATGGCATCTAATGTAAAGTCGCACCATTTTAGCTGCGGCTACTCAACTCCGGGAGTTGGTGATGGACAGGGAGGCCTGGCGTGCTGCAGTCCACCGGGTCGCGAAAAATCGGACACGACTGAGGGACTGAACTGAAGTGACTCAATTCCTAGTTACGTCCCGCCCCCAGTCATCCTCCCGTTGTCATGGAGATCAAGACGCCCAAGTTGGTAGATTTCCCTCCCGCGATACCTGGGCGGAGCACGGGATGACGCATGCGCCTTCTCGGCGGCCGAGGCGCCGCGGTGCCTACCGGGACTGAGCTTCCAGCTGCCCGATCAGGAAGTGGCGGGCGGAGCCGGGGCAAGAGTCGCCGCCTCAGCCGCCGCAGCCGCCAGTGGGGAGACCCCCGAGCTGGCGGGGCAGCGCTGGGCATGCGTGCCGGGCGGTGGAGGCGCTGACAACGAGCCAGAAGCGGCAGCCACGCGGGCGTGGGCGGCTGGTCCAGGCGGAGGCGCTGGGAGGCGGCGGCGGGGTGCGTGGGGCGGCCCTCCTAGCTCAGGTAGGAGCTGCGGACGCCGGGTTTGGGGCGCGGAGCCCCAGCCTGTTGTTCTTCGGGGCCTCCTCCCATTCCCGGGGGCACGCGGCCTCCCATCTCCCGGGGAGCCGGGGCTGCGGTTTCCTGCCCGAAACGCTTAACCCGGTTACAGCCGCTCGGGAGCATTGTTTCTGAAGCCGGAGGGTCAGTGAGCAAAGTTTTGGGTTGGAAAGGGGAAATTCGAATTGGAGACCTGGTCGTGCCTCTCCTGAGCCCCCAAACTTATATTCGCTGTAGCCGCACGGACCAGGTGTGTGGAGTTTGGGGAACCGCGGCGCCCAGCCAAGTAAAGGCTGTGATTTAGGTGCTCCTTCACGGATTTCTTTTTTTTTCTTTTTCAGCTGCCTCTTGGAAGCCTAGTTTGGAATGATTCCTAACCTTGAGTTATAATAGTTTTCTGCAAAGTCTATTTTCCAAAACAAGTCGTTGCGGTACTTTTTCCCCTCCACCTCTACCTTTCTGTCTTTTTAGGGGTAAGCAGTCTCTTATTCTCAGATTGCCGGCTATTCAAAGCAATATTGACCCCTGCGAGGCTCAAGCAGGCAAATGAAGCAAGAGAGGAAAAGAGTAGAAAGATTGAAAGAAATCAAATGATAAAGTGGATAAATGATAAAGTCAAATGAGAAAATGGGAGGAATGTGGGCTTTGCAGTTAAAAGATTTTCGCCGAACTTTTGGCTTCTCAGCGGGGGAATACGTGAACTCTCTGAGTTGTGGCAGTGGTGTGCGTTTTAGTGTAAAACGGGGAGGTTGATGTGTCCTGTTGCCACACAGGTCAGTACGTGTGAAACTCTTCAGGTGCGGAGTAGTCTTCTGAGAAAAAGGTGGAAGACGTTAAATCCTCTGTTCTAGGGACCGTTGAACCTTACCCAGACCACCCAGGTCGCTTTTGTTTTGGAGGCTTTTACCAGCATTTTAGGTCTGAAATAAGGAGCACCTGGTTTAGGAATCAGTCTTCTGGCCTCCAGGCTGTGTACTTTCAGCTGTGTGATCTTAACTCTGCCTCTTCAGGTATGATAGCATAAATACCTGGTATCTCGTAGAGTTGTGAGGATCAAATGCTGTAAACATCCAGGTCTTTGTAAACTGTAAGACTTTTATTTAAATCTGTGTTAAAATAGTGGTTATAAAAGCCTGGGTTAATAATCTGTCTTTACAAGGTGAAATCAGCAGGTGTTTGTTGTTTTAGGCTTGTTTCCCCTCCCCCTTCCCCCCACCACATCATTGGGGAATTCTTTCTTGTTCTAATACACTTTCCCTCCCCCAAGACTGTCTCCTACCTTCCTCACCTGATTATAATCACTAGGTTATTTCTTTTCAGATCCAAGTCAAAATAATAGTTCTGAAATAACATGTTGGTCTAGCTTTGCTACTTACAAAACGACTTTCACACACATTTTCTCATTTTATTCTTAGAATTGGGCTAGATGTAGACAGCATTGGTAGTATCCTCATTTTACTTATGATGAAATTGGATTTAGAGAGGTCTAGTGGATTCCCTAGGTCATGTTACTGTTAGGGGTCAGAATTTAGGGAGGTCTTAGATTCAAGGTCCAGGGTCAGTGATTCTGTTCTCCTTACCTGAAGTTTGACAAGTTTATTTCTTATCAGTGCTTTTATAAAATTTTATTGAAGTATAGTTAATTTACAGTGTTTCTAATTTCTGCTGTATAACAGTGGCTTAGTTAAACTTATACTGTCATATTCTTTTCCATTGTGGTTTATCACAGGATATTGGATATAGTTCCCTGTAGTGTACAGTAGGACCTGTTTATCCATTCTTTATAATAGTTTGCATCGGCTAATCCGAAACTCCCAACCCTTCCCTTCTCTATCCCCCTTCTCGCTTGACAACCACAAGCTTGTTCTCTACAATTATGAGTCTGTTTTTGTTTTGTAGATGTGTTCCTTTATGTCATCTTTTAGATTCCACAAGTAATGAAATCATACGCTATTTGTCTGTCTTTTTCAGACTTTGCTTAGTGTGATAATCTCTAGGTCCATATTGTGCATATAGCAGTATTTCATTCTTTTTCGTGACTGATACTCAGTGCTTATGTTTTTAACTTTTAGCATGCCAAGTCACATTTTATTTATCCATTGCTTTTTAAGCGAGGTGCTGAGTGCATTCATGTTCTCAGACGCAAGCTTCTTGAAGGCGAGGATTTATCCTCCGGAACTTTCCAGAGGCTGCAGTGCAGCACAGTGCCCCACAAACAGAAGACATTTAATAGAGGCTTGTAAAACTATTAACAGTGAGGCTCGGGCACTTTAAAGATGTTCTTCTGTTTGTTAGTCACTTACAGAATATTCACTGAGCTACCCCATGCCTGAAAGCTTTCAAAGTGTAAGAGTCTCTTTTTTGTCACAGAAGGGTGTGTGGGGTCTGGCTACTCGCCGCTCGAAAGCCAGTAAGCAGGCCAGGTGGGAGGAAAGGAAAGTTTGCTTATTTGAAATAAAGCAGGCCGGGAGAGGGCATATATCTGTCCAAAGGCCAATTCACTGTGCCACCTCCCCCTTCCCCCCATTGGCAGTGGGGCAAGAGCTTTTATAGATAAAAGAAACAGCACAGTCAGCTCTGACAGTCATCTTCACGTTGGTCATCAGTGGTCTGACCAGCGTCACCTTGGTCGCTTTAGGTACAGTTAATCTTCAGTTCCAGGGTCCATTTGTTCGCATTTCTTTGAGGCCAGTTCTCGGAATTGTGGCAGCTTCTGTTGTGGGTACAGTGTGGTCATCATGTAGTAACTTCTCCCACCTGGGTTTGAGTATCTGTAAGACAGGCTCACAGGATATGGCTCAGAATATTATCTGTAGTATTTGAGAAGGAACTCAAGGTCCTTGACTGTGCTTACTGACTGCATTATTATTATTTAGTCTCCTTCGATTGTTTTCCTTTGTTTCTTCACTTCTCTGATTAAACTTTGAAGTTTTCCACAGAGAAAAGGCAGGCAGAGGACTTGGTGGAGGCAAGAACCATAGGGTCCTGCTCCATTACATTTCCTCTGAGAGTTTGCTTATGAACTTAAGAACACTAGTCTAAATAGCGTAGAAATCACTTACATAGTCATCTTGTGTACTTCTGAGACTCTCCGTAGGGTTCTAGGGAGAGTTCAGACAAGAGAGGATTGTTTTAAAATACTTATTGAATAACCTGTGGTTTCTCTGGTTGTACTGAAGTTGCTCAGAATGTTGAACTCTAAAACGGAAAAAAATCCAAAGAAATCTATCTAGTCCCACCTCCCTCCAAATCAGGAGTTTTCTGTAGATATTTCTTAACAAATATTAATCCAGCCTCATCATTGGTTATGATAGTCCACCAGTTTGAAAATATACCTTTTAATTGGCAGCCAATTCTGATGGTTCTATTTTTGCAACGAGCCTAAATCTGTCTCCTAATTTCCGCCCAGTGCTTCTGAAGCACCATTGTCCAGTAGGAATACCGTATGAGCTGTGAGTGTCAGCCACACATGTAATTTAAAATTTTCTAGTGGCCTTAATTTAAGAAAAAAGAAAAAATAGGGCAAATTAATATTTTACTTAACCCAGTATATCCAAAATATTATTACATTACTCTCTAGTTATCACATAGTCCATTTAAAATATTTCAGTAATTTAAAACTTTTTTCGCTATATTGAGTCTTTTTAGTTTTTTGGCTGCACCTCATGCCATTCAGGGATCTTCCCTTCCCTCACCAGAGACTGAACCTGTGTTTGCTGTATTGTCAGTGCAGTCTTAACCACTGGGGTATCAGGGAAGTCCCTGTATTGAGTCTTTTTAAATCTGGTGTGTATTTTACACTTAGAGTACATCTCAACTCTGTCCCATTTAAGGTGCTCAATTGGCACTTCAGCCAGTGGCGGTCGTCTTGAACAGCGTAAGTTCTGGAACTTTAGAGAATAATCCTGTTTTTCTTTGCTAGTGCCTAGCGCAGTGCTTGGCACATAACAGGCACAAATTAAAGGTTTTTTTTATTTTAGTGAATGAGGAAGTGAATGAATACAAGTCCTAGAGAACTAGTAATAAAAGGCAATTTTGTTTGGGAAGTAACTTTTGTTGAGAACTGTGGATTTGGCATATAGATTTGAGTGACTTGAATCTGTATTAAAAAAAACTTATTTTTACCTTTGCAGCATTATGGATCCAAGCCTTTTGAGAGAACGGGAGCTGTTCAAAAAACGAGCTCTTTCCACTCCTGTAGTCGAAAAACGTTCTGTGTCTTCTGAGACGTCATCATCAAAGAAGAAAAAAGCAAAGCTAGAACATGGAGGATCATCGGGCTCTAAACAAAATTCTGGTTAGTAGAATTGACTGTTTAGTTTTTGTTTTTCAGGGAACCACTTAGTCGTGGTAAATTCATTTTTTAGTTCAACATTCATATTGATTCTTAGATAGTTTGTTAAGTATAAGGGCTGAAATGATGAGGTTTTTTGCTCTTAAGATGTTAATAGTTGTTTTGTAATTAGAATTTAGGTTATTATCTTAAAAAAAAACCCTTCATTGAGGTTTAAGTTACGTACCTTATAGTTCACTCATTTTAAGTGTATAATTCAAAGATTTTTAATAAGTTTACAGTGTTGTGCAGCTGTTACTGCATTGAATTTTTGAACATTTCCATCACCCTCAAAAGATTCCTTGTGCCAATTGGTAGTCAGTCCTTGTTCCCACCTCAGTCCCTGATGACTGATAATCTACTTTCTGTCTCTCCGCCTTTTCTGGACATTCCATGTGAATGAAATTGTACAGAATGTGTTCTTCAGTATGTGGCTTGTTTTTCCTGGCATCTATTGAGATGATAATGTTGGTCTTGTTCTTTGTTAATACGGTGCTGAGTGCTGCGCGTGCTCAGGCTTTGTGACCCTGTGAACGGTAGCCCGTCAGGCTCCTCTGTTCATGGAATTTTCCAGGCGAGAATACTGGAGTGGTCTGCCATTTCTTACTCCATTTAATTAAATGGCAACCTACTCCAGTTATTTAATATGGTATTAATATTAATTGATTTTCAAATGTTAAACCAACCTTGCATTCTTGGAATAAATCCCACTTGGTCATGATGTGTAATCCTTTGTTGTATGATTCAGTTTGCTGATTCTTTATTCAGTGTCCATCCGTGTCATCCCATATATCTGCATTCCATTGCATTTTTATTGCTGAAGGGTATTTCACTGAATGGATATGCCACAATTTGCTTATCCTTTTCCTGTTAATGGCTTTTTGGCTATTATGAATTATTTGGCTATTATGAATAGTGCTGCTGGGAACATTCACGTACAAGTATGTGTGTGGGCATGTTTTTATTTCCTCTGGGAAAGAGACCTGAGTGGAATTTCTGGGTTATGTGGTAAATTTATGTTTAACTTTTTAAGAAATTATCAGAATGGCTGTACCGTATTACATTTCACCGTCAATGCATGAGGAATCTTTTTTTTCTCATCCTTGCCATTTTGATTATGGCCTTTCTAGTGGGTGTGAAATGATATCATTGTGGCTTTAATATGAATAAAATTTCATGTGCTGTTGATCATTCATGTCTCTTTTGATGAAATGTGTATTCAGATTGTTTTTTGCTCATATGAAAAAATTGAGTTGTCTTCCTATTGATTTGTAAAAGTTGTTTTTCTGGAGGCAGGTCGAGGGGCATGCTGTGGCTTGCGAGATCTTAGTTCTCTGACCAGTGATTGAATCCAGGCCTTGGTAATGAAAGTGTGGAGTTCTAACCACTGGACCATCTTGTGGAGTTCCCTTACATGTGTTTCTGGTGGCATATTTAAGAAATCTTTGCCTAACCTAAGCTCATAAAAATATTCACTCCTGTCTTTTCTTCTAAGAATTTTATAGTTTTAACTTTGATATTTAGGCCTGTGATCCATTGAGTTGATTTCTTAATGTGTGATTTTAATGTAAGAGTCTAAATTCATCTTTTTGTGTGTGGTTATTCAGTTGTCCCTGTGCAATTTCTTGGAGGGGGGAACCACTTTCTTTTCACTTTTGACTTGCATTGGCACCCTTGTTGAATATCAGTTGACTACAGATGAGTTTTTTTTTTTTCTTCTGGAATCTCAATTAGTTTCCATTGACTCATATGTCTAGCCTCATGCAAAGATGGGCACAATAAAGGACAGAAATGGTATGGACGTAACAGAAGCAGAAGATATTAAGAAGAGGTGGCAAGAATACACAGAAGAACTGTACAAAAAAGATCTTCATGACCCAGATAATCACAATGGTGTGATCACTGACCTAGAGCCAGACATCCTGGAATGCGAAGTCAAGTGGGCCTTAGGAAGTATCACTATGAAAAAAGCTAGTGGAGATGATGGAATTCCAGTTGAGCTATTTCAAATCCTAAAAGATGATGCTGTGAAAGTGCTGCACTCAATATGCCAGCAAATTTGGAAAACTCAGCAGTGGCCACAGGACTGGAAAAGGTCAGTTTTCATTCCAATCCCAAAGAAAGGCAATGCCAAAGAATGCTCAACGTACTGCACCATTGCACTCATCTCACACGCAAGTAAAGTAATGCTCAAAATTCTCCAAGCCAGGCTTCAACAGTATGTGAACTGTGAACTTCAGATGTACAAACTGGATTTAGAAAAGGCAGAGGAACCAGAGGTCAAATTGCCAACATCTGTTGGATCATCAAAAAAGCAAGAGAGTTCCAGAAAAACACCTACTTCTGCTTTATTGGCTACATCAAAGGCTTTGTGTGATTCATGACAAACTGTGGAAAATTCTTGAAGAGATGGGAATACCAGACCACCTGACCTGCCTCCTGAGAAGCCTGTATGCAGATCAAGAAGCAACAGTTAGAACTGGGCATGGAACAACAGACTGGTTCCAAATAGGAAAAGGAGTATGTCAAGGCTGTGTATTGTCACCCTGCTTATTTAACTTATATGCAGAGTACATCATGAGAAACGCTGGGCTAGATGAAGCACAAGCTGGAATCAAGATTGCCAGGAGAAATATCAGTAACCTCAGATATGCAAATGACACCACCCTTATGGCAGAAAGCGAAGAACTAAAGAGCCTCCTGATAAAAGTGAAAAAGGAGAGTGAAAAAGTTGACTTAAAACTCAACATTTGGAAACTAAGATCATGGCATCTGGTCCCATCACTTCATGGCAAATAGATGGGGAAACAGTGACAGACTGGTTTTTTTGGGCTCCAAAATCACTGCAGATGGTGATTGCAGCCGTGAAATTAAAAGATGCTTGCTCCTTGGAAGGAAAGTTATGAGCAACCTAGACAGCATATTAAAAAGCAGAGACATTACTTTGCCAGCAAAGGTCAGTTTAGTCAAAGCTGTGGTTTTTCCAGTAGTCATGTATGGATGTGAGAGTTGGACTCTAAAGAAAGCTGATCGCTGAAGAATTAATGCTTTTGAACTATGGTGTTGGAGAAGACTCTTGAGAGTCCCTTGGACTGCAAGGAGATCAACCAGTCGATCCTAAAGGAAATCAGTCCTGAATATTCATTGGAAGGACTGATGCTGAAGCTGAAACTCCCAATACTTTGGCCACCTGATGCGAAGAACTGACTCATTGGAAAAGACCTTGATGCTGGGAAAGATTGAAGGCGGGAGGAGAAGGGGATGACAGAGGGTGAGATGATTGGATGGCATCACTGACTCAATGGACATGAGTTTGGGTAAACTCTGGGAGTTGGTGATGAACAGGGAGGCCTGGCGCACTGCAGTCCATGGGGTCACAAAGAATTGGACACAACTGAGCGACTGAACTGATGCCAGTACCACAGTCTCCTGATAGCTGTAGCATTCTGGTAACATTTTGGAATTGGGAGGTATAAGTCCTTCAGTCCTGTTATGTTTTTCAAGGTTGTTTTGGTTTCTCCTGGATCCTTTGCATTTCCATATAAATTTAGGATCAGCTTGTTTTCATTTGTGAGAGAGTCAGTTGTGATTTTGATGGGGATTGCATTGAGAATTGCTACCTTAACAATAGTAAGTCTTGCAGCCAGTTAATATGGCTGTCTTTGCATTTCTTTAGGTTTCTTATTTCTTTCAGCAATGCTTTGTAGTTTTTAATGTGTAAGTCTTGCTTTATTAAATTCTAAATTTTTTTTTATATTGTGAATGAAATTATTTTCTTAATTTGGTATCTGGATTGTTAATTGCTACTATTAGAAATAAACTATATTTGTGTACATTGTTCTTGAACCCTGCAACTTTGCTGAACTCATTATTTCTAGTTTTTTGGTGTGAAGTTTTACGGATTATGTGAGATTGGAGCTTCCCTGGTGGTCCAGCAGTAAAGAACTTACCTGCCAATCCAGGGACCAGGATCAGTCCCTGGGTCAGGAAGATCCCTTGCAGAAGGAAACGGCAACCCACTCCAGCACCCTTGCCTGGAGAATCCTGTGGACGGAGGAGCCTGGTGGGTTGCCATCCATGGGGTTGCACAGTCAGTGTGGCGCAGTGACTGAGCACAAGCACATGTGAGATCATGTCATTTGTGAACAGGAAGTTTCATCTCAGCTTTCCGGTTTGAAGGCCTTTTATTTCTTTTCTTGTCTATGTTGGCTACTAATAGTAGTAAGTGTGATTATCTTTGCCTTGTTCCTAATCTTAGGGAGAAAGCATTCAGTCTTTCATGTTGTAATATGTTGTTAGCTGCAGGGAGTTCCCCTCTATTTCTGTTTAGTTTGTTGAGAACTGTTAATATAAATGTGTAGTGGCTACTGTTAAATGCTTGTTCGGCATCCATTGACATCATGTTTGTTCTTTTTCTTTATTAATGTGGATATTATGCTAATTGATTTTTTTTTTTGCTAATTGATTTTTAAATGTTAAACCAACTTTATATTCTTGGAATAAATTCTACTTTGTTGTGGTTTATAATCCTTTTTATTTGTTGTAGGATTCACTTTGTTGATGTTTTATACAGGATTTCTGTATCTTTATTTATTTATTTTTTTCCTGTATCTTTATTCGTGAGGGATATGATATGGTCTGTAGTTTTTTTGTGCCTGTTTGAGTATTTCTGGCCATAAAATGATTTGTGAGGTATTCTCTCTTCCTCTGTTCTCTGGAAAGGTTTGATAAAAATTTCTTCTTAAGTATTTGATAAAATTCACATGGAAAGCCTTTTGGGCCTGAACTTTCCTTTGTGGGATGCTCTTCATAGAGATTTCTTCCTATAGATCTGTTCAGATTTTCTTTTTCTTGAGTAAATTTTGGTACTCTGTGTCTTTCTTAGGAGTTTGCCATTTCATCATCTACATTGTCCAAAGCTTTTCAGACTATTCCCTTGGAACTGTTTGATTTCTGTATGATCA